AGTACGGTGCACCTTATGGTCGTGAAAATACGGTAAGAGGAAAAATGTAAATGGAAAAATCAGAGCTTAAAATAAAACTCAAGATTTGTACTTCTTTTTATGTTTTTTTCGAATTGATATTATAAAACTGGTATCGAAAAAAGTATCGTTCAGGAACCGGTATCGAAGTGAAGGTATCGGTATTGGTACCGGAACCGAAAAATTTTGAACAATACCCAGCCCTACATACACGACCCTATACCCGCTCCCGAGAGGGAACGTCTGTTAAACGTGTGTGAGAGCATGCACAAGCCCATTTCTCCTCATGCACGCTCTGTTTAAAAGTTGCTGTGTGCATTGCTCATACAAGCTTACTTTCCAAAAAAAGATTTGCAATTTTTTCACCGTCAGACTCACCATGGGTAAGTGAAAATGGGGACGAACACATAAATATTTCACCGGAATGATTGTCAATTAGGAGGACCACATATTTTGATGATCCACCCGGAAAAAGAACATCCTCTTAATTTCCAAATGAAATGCAGAATGTCCTTTAATCAGAAAATAGCATTTTGGACATTGAGCAACAATCTAGGTCTTTTAGCCTTAGCCCAGGTAAGGTTATTCTGATGTGTCTGTTTCAGGAGTGACTTAAAATGATGAATGCAACTAGTAGCAAATAGACTGGTATTCATTTTTGTTGTGGTTCTAGATGTTCTGACCAATGCCCAAGTTAATTCCTTGTGAAGTTCTCCTAAATTTTTAATGATTTTGGTGAACTCTTTCCTTCCACATTTCTTCCTTCCTCTCAATGTTCTTTTCATATGCTTAAATATTAATTCGTGCCTCCTCATGAAGGATACTGATGATCGAAGACTACAGTGAACTTCGGCCCATTGTAGTCTTCCACATGATTGTGTCTTCTCTTTACCGCTTAGAGGCTCAGGGAACATGTGCAGGTGCAGGAGAGAATTAGCCGATTATGGCCAAACACTGAATTGTGTATAAACTTGAAATTAATAACAAAAGACGGCAACTTTACACAACTTTTTTATTTATTACAGATTGATTTGGAAGTTTAACATGTCTGCCTTACCTAATTGTCAGAAATGGGACTCCATATGGTGTCCTTTATTTGAGGTAAATGGATAATGACATATCACCCAATAAGTTTTTCCATAGGTAAAATTTAAATAAAAAAACAGGGAATGTGGTTTTGTTTTTGGCACTGCTGTTTTCAGTGCAGTTATTTTTTTCTCTTGTATTTTTTTGTAGTGTCTTGTATATTCTGGTTTTCCAGTAGTGAAAATATGAAGCAGCAAAAAAAAAAAAACCTCTTAATATCAGTTTTTTATTTTTTTATTTTCTTATTCTTTTTTTCCCAATTCCCAAAAAAAAAAAAACCTCTTAATATCAGCTGTTTCACATTAACAAGAAGCGATCTGACAAGATTAATTTAATTGTCAAAACATTTGTCCAAAATTGTCCATATACATTAGTAATGGTTAACATTTACATAGTCATCACATACAAACCTTGCTCCATTTGATTAGGATCGTGTATGAAGGAAAATCAAAGTACAAGAAAACATAAAAACATTTAGAAAAATCAAATAATATATCATGTGCATTTGTATTGAGCCCACTTTGCTCTCTCCAGCTTAATCTGTGTGTAATGTAATGAGTATAAATGCAGTAGTTTTAAATCTCTGGTGTGTCAGAATATTGGTTGTCTTCATGGAACACAGCAAGGAGAAAACAGTTTTATGCTATTAAAAAGGCAAAAAAAATGTACTGACCTTGTGTAACATTCTAAAGAAAATGTGAAGGGTTGCAATCACTTTTAGAAGGTGCTATTCTTCTTCTTGACAGCTGTATTTTTTCTGTTACCTTTGCAGGTATCACCACAGTGTTGACAATGACCACCCTGAGCACAGTGGCCAGGAACTCCCTACCCAGAGTCTCCTACGTAACGGCCATGGATCTGTTTGTGACCGTCTGTTTCCTGTTCGTCTTTGCTGCCATGATTGAGTACGCAATGCTCAATTACTACTCCTACATTATACGCAGACCACCTCCAAAGATGCAGAGAATGGTAAGTCTGCTTTCCCTGGAGTTGTTTATAATATTTGCTAAAAGCAGAGCTCTTTGTGCACAGTAGAAATGGCTTTTGAAGCATGAATCTGTGCCTTTCATTTAAGGGGTTTCTGTAATGTTTCCAAATAGTAACATAGCTGAACTACCCTCAATGATGTGACACCTGCCTAGTGTAGGCATGTGAATCACTAGACCTCAAAGGGAAACGAGATGCCCTCTGAAAGACACTAAGCAGCTCAAAGATAGGACAACAGATAAGGGAAAACTAAATCAAAAACATATGAAACATTATCAAAAAATAAAATCACAGCGATTCTGAAGTGCAGATATAACCCATAACTATATTGTATGCCTGCGTGGGGGGATTGGGAAGTCACTGGAATTTTAATGAAGATAATTATCATGACAAACAGTGTGGACTTTAATGAAATATCTCAAAACATCACTTTCTGGCTGCCATGGCAACTTCAAGGGGCGATGATGACTCGAAGACATCTGAATGATCATCCATGGTCTGTATCCATCCTGCCAGAAAAAAGAAAAGAAACTGCTTCCTTAACATGTAGTTACAGCTGAATATTTTTATTCTGGTAAAAAAAATGTCCCACTTTTTGATATTTAATTTGATTGCAATTAAAGGTATACATAGACAGGTGCAAGATGAAAACCTAAATTTATGTCGTCGTTGGAAAGCAAAGGAAAACCTTTTGCTCTGTCACTTCATCGAGCGAGTTTTCAGACCAGTTAAGAATATTTTTTGTTTGTTAATGGAGACTACAAATGAAAGCAATTTTCCTTAAGTTTCTGTCCTCAGCAGCAATTGCTCCCTTGAGCTCCTCTTTTTACCCAAGCACTGACAGGTGGTGCTCGGTCTGATATTAGCCCTGTGTAGCAAACTCGGCCCGGAGTCTGAGCAGAGCGGACGCTGTCACGCTGTCCTCATGTGCATAGCTGCTGTGGGGTCTTCTGTCTTTTCCTCACTGAGGAGTTTTTTAACAGTAGTATGGTGATAGGATTAAAACAGTACAGTTTGGAATCAGAAAGCTTATTTCAAATAAAACTGAAACACAACTATCTATTCTACCTAGCTCACCCAAGCAAAGCACTTAAGCATCAGATGTAAGAAGAGAAGGATGGATGTTGATTTGGCTCAGTGGGGAGGCAGGGACTTTCTGCCCCAGTTTGGTCAGCTGGACCAACCCTTCTTCGGTCCAGTCTGTTCATCCAACAGCAGCTCTCAAAGAGATTTGAATTAATCCTATGCAATATCAAGAGGCAACTTTGCAGGGGTTAATTTTACAACTCACAGTAGCCTGGGATCAATGGCCCCCCCAGCACCCCCCCTCCCCCACCGCAGCCGCGTAGACAACCGACCCGAAACGTGCCGCATACCTACACACTGCATCATTCTTCCCCTTCACTAGACATGGATATACTTCAGTTTTTTCTGCTGTAAAATGAGTCTTATCAGGCTACCTTGAGTTTCACAGCCCCCCTCCTCATCCACGCTCTCTCCATTCATCTCCTTGTCGCAATCTTCATTCTCTGTAGCAGCAACATCCAACTTCTCCCTCTTCGGTTCTTTGAAAGAACGTGTTTATTTTGGGAAGAATTTTTCCCATTCTTCCAGCAGCTCTTCCTTTTTCTTTTCTGGAATCTGCATTGGTACCTCTTTTAGGTATCCATCGTCGCTTACACATTGTACGTAACGGTTATGGTTTTAATCTATACTCTGGATTACCCATAATTTCAAGTCATAGTGTAAAAAATTAAATGCTCAAATACATCGTTCTATTAAGATCTTTATTGCAGTTTGAAACATGTTACATTTTTACCAACCGTCTAATTAACTATACACAGTTATTAACATAGTAATTAAAAGTACCGCTGTCTGCTTTACTATTGGTGTCGTGTTTAAATGGCTCACCAAATCTGGCATGTGTTGGGGTATTAATAAGGTCGGGTCAGTTATTCTGGCATCAGGTGGGTTTAAGAGGAATTTTTCGCTCCATTACATCTGCAAAGAGACGTCCTAGTCCACAATAGCGTAGGGGGCCTACCATGTGTCAGTGACGGGACCCCTAAGAGGTCGGGGGGCCCCTAAGCAACTGCAGTCTCTGCTTACCAATATTTACGCCATTGCTCGGGATGTCTACCTTTAGCTACAGTAGTTAGCTGGTGGCGGCAGCTCCAAGTCAGGCTTAACCAATATGGCATACGTCAGCAGTCTCTAATGGCTCCTCTGCAATTAGGCCCAGCTGTGTTCCTTTGACAGTTAGATTTAGGTCGACCAGAGGTGGTGCTCACCTCTGCTGCAGCAGGTGGGTTCATGAAACACTGCGTTCAACCCGGTTTGAATCGCAGGAAAATATGGTCACAACAGTCAGCTCCTAGGACGGTTAGTCTGACTCGGTCCAGCAAGCTCAGACCTCTTGGGAGGGATTTGGTTGCTACTTGGAGTAGCGATAAACTGAGAAGCACTCAGGCTAGGCCTTTCGCAGAAGTTTAATGGGAAACATCGGAGAGGGGTGGCTTCAGAGTAGGGTAGTAGTTCCGGTTACATCACTCACATTTGATCTTAACACAGTTAAACCAGTTTGTTGTTTCTTGGATGTACCACTACTCCTTGTTTAGATTGCTAAACTTGGTTCCCAAACACATCAGTTTTGCTGCTTAGAGGAAGATGTCTGAGCAGCAACTGGCTTTCAGAGTGCTCTTGAACCAGAAAGAACACAGAAAAAGTAAACACAGAGAAAAAAGTAAAACAAAAAATATAATGGATATTGAATAAACTTTAAAAAAAACACAATTCATAAATGTGAAAATATTAACATATATTATTAATCACACATTTTAAAACTCCATTTAGAAATGGAACTTGTAAATAGATATTCAAATATACAAATGGAAAACGCTCCTCAAATTGGATTACTAATAGTATGACTGGAATGTTAAATTTGAAATGGCTGTTTTTAATTTTCAGTGACTGCTGGTCTTCCATATATTCTTAGTTTGTGTACTTTGAAAATGACGTTTCAGAACATGTTAAAAATTTTCTTATTCTGGTATTCAGTTCATAGGAATGATTCCAGTAATTAAAGGTGAGGTCAGCTTTTAAAGAAGATTGCCGTTTTTTTTTATTGTTGGTGAATGGTGTGAACTGTACCCATCATTCTCTCCCATATGGCCTACTGTTTGTATTTGAACAGCGTGTTATCCGTCTGGATTGTTTTTGTAACTCGTTGTTTTTGAAGATGCTTAAAGCTGCCAAAAAAGAAAAACAACGCTTCTGATCGCTCACTAACTGGCAGAAACATATCGATTCAATCCATATGATCTGCTGTCTGTACATCCAGCACACTTCCCAGGAATCTGACATCTTTATGAACACCTGCTCAGTTGAAAAGCATTTCCTTTCCAGTCGTCGCCCCTGATGCTGCGCGTGGGCGTTCTCCAAGGCTGTACCTGCTGTGAGTGCCTTAATGTCAGCAGCACACAGGCACTCCAACCGACTTAGCCGCCATTGCTGTCATCTCTCACTCTCTCCCTTTCCGCTCCTTATTCATTATTCCACACTTGTGTGGAGGAGTTCTGTGTTTCGGGGCCAAAAAATTAAGCTGTGTTTTATTCAGTCCCCCTTTTCTGGGTTTTGGACACCCCACCTCATTCCCCAATCAGGAATATTTATAGCTCCTTCCCAGTGCCCCATCAATCAATTCTACCATGTGTGTCCGTCTTACTACAATGGAGGGAAAAAATCTATTTTAGCCTTATAAGTTAGAAACAAAAAATCATTTAAAGGTATAGTGGAGGATGTTCTTCTTCTGGGTTGATCATAAAAACAAGCGGTTCTCCTAATTATCAATCATTCTGGTAATGTGTTTACATATGGCAGTCCTATGTGCTCATCCACATTTTTACTTACCTGTGATGAGTCTGACAGAGGAAAAATAGCCAATCTTCTTTTTGAAAGTAAGCTTTTATGGGCGGTGCAAACAGCAACTTTTAAACAGGGCATGCATGAAGAGAAATGGGCTTGTGCACGCTCTCGCATGCATTTAATAGACGTTCCCTCTCGGGAGGCGGGTATAGGATTGCGCATGTGTATTTTTTTTTCTTTTAAGTAGAGAGAGGTTCTTTTCAAAAGTTTGCTGAATATCTCCACCTTACCTTTAATGAAGCAGATTTTTAGAAAGTACAGCTCCAACCCTGAGACTCCACATCCTCCATGACCGCTCCGACCTCGAACATCACGGTCAAAATACGGAGAAGGGCTGATTTGTCAAACTAAAATAGGGTATCAACAGACCTGTAATGACAAATTAAAATGGGATTTTTATTTTATCATTGATGAAAACTATTGGTATTTCAAAATATTTCGTATGCTGGAAATCTTAACATTTTGGTGAACTTCCAAGACCGCTTCTGACAATTTCAAAAGCAACTTTTTATGACAAGCACGGACGAAGAGATGCAGATTTAGTAAAATATTGGCCCTCATTTTTATAAAGTCACTCAAAGAATAGAAAAGGTTTACGCTGAAACTGCACTTGTACTGGATGCCATTGGTGAGTTTTTATACTGTCAAATTAAGCTTGCTCCGCTCCGAGTGTTAACGTAGCATAACACAACCAGAGCAGCCATTAAATCTTCTGTTCATTGGATCACCACTACAGAAGTTTTGAGTTAAAAAAAATAGGGACTAATCTTCCAAAGGTTTGCATGTCTTAAAACAGGTGCAAACCTATTTGTATGGGCAGAGCAGATCATACTCTATAGACAGAGCCGGGAAACTTCTCAGTGTAAAGAAGTTTTCCAAGCCGGTATCTAAACTGCGGCCATAGACTTTGCTTTTTTTTAAGTAATTCTGAAAGTTGTACAGATGTACCTGCAGTCATTGTTTTATTGTTGCAGAGGATGGTGAGAGATTCTGGGCGCTAGTAAAGATATTTGGACTGTCAGAAATAGTAGAACCAAATCTAAGAACTATTTCAACTTAAATATGGTGGCATCTTCATTAAAAAAGTTGAATATTTGAGCCTGCAAAGAGGCATTGAGGGAATATGCATCTCTTTGCAACGTGCATTTATTTTGTTTAGCAAAACAACGGTACATAAAAAGTTATGTTTGGATCTAGTGCTCCATGGCTAATGCACGTGCTATAAAAGATTAATTCCACATGCATTCCACATTTATGGCCTCTTATATGGAAACTTTTATCAGGACCACTAATACCATTAGTAGTAAAACCGGTCATTTGGGCAAGTAGCAAATGCTGAATATCCCAATAAAACTTGTCAATAGATGGAAGCATCAAGGCAGTATGATTTCTTGTTACATAACTGTTTACCGTGGACTTGTGAATCACACAAAAAATGTTCTCCAGATGAATTGCTAACGCTTCATCAGAAAGGAAGATTTGGGTCACTGAGCAGTGGCCCCGTCTTGTTCTGGCCTTAGCTTGAGGGAACTGTGTGTGATGACTCTTAAAGCACCTACTCAGGCTTCAGTCCAAATCTTGTGATTAATCCAGGTCCAGAAATTAAAAAGCTTGTACAGAGATCAGTTCTAACCATTTCCAGCTCCAAACTTATCCCCTAAGGGGCTAAGTGAGCAGGATAAAAGAAAGCAAGGCAGGGTTTTTACTTTCTGGATCTGGATTGTCCACCTCTGCCCCCTTTGAATGGGCTTTGCTTTCCATTCCTCTGAAGGCTACAGTTAACCCTGTGCTTCCCTTTCACCATTAAGCCAACCTTCAGTTACTCTGCTTGGATACAGCACTATTTACCAGTTACCTTCTGTAGCTTATCCTCCTTTCTGTTGGAACTTACATTTTAGGTTTTCAAAAGTCTTGCTATAATCATCAAAATCACCAGAAGTTAATTGTTAAAATGTAACCTTAATATAAAAAGTATATGGATGAGTTTCCCCTCTTAGTGAAAGAGGTATTTACATTTCAATTTATTTCAATGCAGGTGGAATAAGAGTTTTTCTAAAGCCATTTGTTACAACACTATTGATAATGTTAATTAAATGATTTTCTTTTTACAATTTGAACATTGTGTTACACATTAAATTTATTTCCAGCACTGCAGAGCATATTTATCAAAGCAGTACCCAACAAGTGCATCCTTAATTTTTCACTAACAGCGCCTTTTCTTTCCATCTGCACTGAAAGATGCTCTTGCAATTGTTTTATTTGAAAAAAAAAAGTATCAAGACAAAAATTTTAAAATGTTTTACAATTTTCCTTTCCTCCCCCGAAGCCCCTAGTTTCCTGAAAACTTTAAAAAGTCTTTCCTTAATGGCTGAGATTAAATTATGATTAAATTCAATATCAAGAATTTCCATTTACAAAGGGGCTGCTTAACATTCTGTATTATCGAATCCAACCCACTAACTGAAGCTATTAAGTTTCTTGAAGTAAAGTCATGCACCCTGATGCAAATCCCCATGTCTTGCATTAGTTAGTAGGTAAACAAAACTTTAACAGTGCCAATTTGATGTGCAGCATTTACTAAAAATTTAGACAGCCAAGATGGTCTCTTTTCAGCAGCAGAAGTGTGTAGTAGAGTGTATAGGGATTGGGCAGCTAGTTAGGATTAGAGAGAAATGTTTTGGGTCTCAACACCAAGACAACTGGATTGTACCATTTGCATGAGCTACATTTACATGGGTAATGCGAATAAATGGCAAATTGTCATGTAAACATATTCTGAGTGGATCTGGCTTAAACTGTAATCCCACTGGGAGGGGTGGTTTATGCTGGCTAACAATCCAATCACCGTGCATGTAAACGGTTGTTAGGATACAGGTATGAATGAGGCAAGCTGACTTTAGTACCCATTCGCACCCCCCCAAAATGTTGTGTATTTCTGCCTTAAGTGGCTAATCTACCCAACTAGGCTTTATTAGAATATTTTGGTTGGCATGTTTACATGACACATTTTTAGTCCAGTCATTTTATTGGAATTTATTTAGCTAGAATAAAACTTTAAATGTAAACATGGCAGTGGGACTATATTTTGACATCGTTTCTAGGCACTCAAAGCACAAATACCTTAAATTGACATGGAAGCACGTGTGCACTAAGGTCAGCTCATCTCATATAGAAAAAGTTGATCCTGACATGGATGCCGATTGGGTTCTCAGTTGGCATAAATCCCACCCCCCACTGTAAGATTACATTCAGATCATTCATGACATTTTTAATTCAAGAGGTTGTTTTTTCATGTCCATGTAAAAGTAGCTTACTGGACTGAGTTGACAGAAAAAAGAATGTTGGTTTCCAACTTTAGGTATTTAAGGGGCAGAGCATTTCGTAATGCAGGAACAACCACACTGACAAGTCCAAATACTCCTCCAAGGAGATGGAGGAGTTGTTCTAATTCAAAAATGTAGTTTAATTTGTATTTGTTAAGTATCCAGAAAGTTGACTCTTACAATTGACTTTGTCCATCCTGTTTTGCAGGCCTATTCATCTTTCAACATGGGTCGTGCACCTCGGTCCATGATGCCAATGGGTAACTCTTTGTTCTGGCATGACTATGAAGACAACTGCCTGTACGAGTGCCTGGATGGCAAAGACTGCAAGAGCTTCTTCTGCTGCTTTGAAGAGTGTAAAGAAGGTGGTTGGAGGAAAGGACGGATTCACCTCAACATCCAGGAGCTGGATTCCTATTCCCGGGTGTTTTTCCCCACCTCCTTCTTGCTTTTTAACATAGTCTACTGGGTCAGCTACCTCTATCTTTAGTCTAATTGGGTGGTGATCTTTGGACCCTGCCAGAACACATCTCCTTGTTTTTCACCAAGACTGGAGATATAAAGTCTTAACTGAGGGAAGTTCAGAAAATTGTCAAGAACTGGTCTATGGGGATTTTTACTGAAATGCTTTTTAAACGTTAGGACTTTAAGAGTTGGCATATGACTTCTCCCATACTGAAGACTAAACTATCAGGATTAACCTGAAAGGCCAATTTTATGACGGAAAAGTTCGGGGACAGGGTTGCAAAGCTGAATCTTGGACATCGAGATAGCGAGCACCCATAGTGCCTTCTCTGGAAAGGGTGCGACTTCAGAGTTTCCTCCATTACATCACTGGTCACAAGGCCGCATGCTGAGCTGTCGGACGAAACCAATCCGGATCACAGTTTTTCACAAATGGACATGTTTGGACATATATGTAATGCTTTCATTTTGTAGCAGCTTAGTTTTGGTTCTATACTGGGAATCTTTTTTTTTTTTTTATTGTTACAATATCTCCATCCTTGGTTGTGCTTTCACAAAAATGCAGCTACACATATATTCTTAATAGTTCAATATAAGTTGGAGCTGCAGTATCAGCTCAACAGGCAGTTGTTTCTAATGCTTTATAACCACAGGATGCAGTTTACAACTGATGCCAAGAAGAGTTAGTTTTTTTTAAATATATGCTGGGTTATATTCTTAGATAAAAGTATAACAACTAAACCCCAGCTCTGGGAATATTATCTATGTTTAAGAACACAAATAGGATTAGTTTTTAGGAGTTTTCTGGCTTCTTATTGAAAGCAGTTTTTACTCCTGTTAGAATTTCTTTCTGTCATCTTAGGAATTATCAGTCTCTTTGTAAATGAACAGTTTGACATTTTGAGAGATTTAGTTAGTTATTTTTCATTTGACTAAATGTATATTACGGCATTTTTTCCCTTCTCAAACTAAAATCCATAGCTTGCATAAGTATGCACCCAATGAAGTCATATCACATTAATAGAAACGGAAAACATTTAAACTACAGGAGACAATCAGGTCATTTATTATTAGTATTGATTTAATATCTTTGTTTCTTGTAATTGATTGCCTATTTAAAGTGACATAAGTATCTATGGTACTGGTCTGTTTTCTGTGTGATGGTTTAACTTTAATGTTTGGATGATGGTAAAGCTATTTGTTTGGACTGGGAATATAGAGATTCTAAAACATGCTTTTAGCTGAGAGAGCAACCAACTTAGAGCAGTAATTCTACCAAAAGTGTAAAAAAAATCTTGCGTCTGTCAGTATGAGCTATTCAGAACACCTCAAGTGGAATAGTTTTAGTTTCACCTGGTTTAATTTTGTAAAAAGTCTTCTTTAAGATAACTTTGTCTATCCGATTAATCAAAAAAATTATCGTTCATTGCAGCCCTGGTTGAACAGAGCCTAGCCACCACCAGATAGCTTTTTTGCAAAATTAGTAAATCAGCTAAAGGTTAACTAAGTTAGCATACATAATGGCTGTGAGGTCTTATTGTTATACATTTATTAGCCAAATGAGGTGAGCTGTACATTACATTAAAAACTTTTTAAACTCTATTTTGATTTACCTTAGAGCTTAAACAGTGCCTAGAAAATAATCTACCGCCTTACAGATTTCTTCATTTTTGCAATATTGTAAATCACAGAATGATTACCTGACCAAATACAAGGCTGTATGAGAAAATATCCTTGCCCATTTTTAAGTCCACATGAATTAGCCTGTTTTTGTGTTGTCTAAATCACTATCCACTCTGCCAGATTTAATGGTTTTGATAACAAGTAGACACATTGATTTAAAAAAATCCCATACATAATAGCCTGACTTAAAGGTCTTAAAGAACAGAGAGTCATTGACATTTATCAATCCGAAAGGGTTTCAAAGCCATGAAAATGACTCATGCAGGGGCTTAAAGAAGTCAGAGCAACTAAACCTTTGCAGGCTTTACTTGATTCAAATTAAGCTTCTGGTCCAAGAAGAAAGAAAGAAACTGGGAACAATGTAATCAATAAGTGAGCTCTACGGCCAGAACTGTTCCTGACCCTAGAAGAATAAAAGGCTGTAGCACCTCCTGACAAGAATGAAACCATTAACTTTGTTCCTCTATACAACCCCTTGAGAGAGAATGCACATCAGTTTATGACTTTAAATGTACCTACACCCAATACCAACAAAGTGGACAGCGCCAACAGACATGGCCAGGTTGAGGGAAAATTAGAGAACTAAAAATTCCAATTACCCAAAAAAAAAATGCTGTTGATCAAAGCTCTCTGTGCTCACGCCAACGTCTGCGTTAGATGGTTTTGTTGGTAACACAGCGTTGACGAGCAGAAAACAAATGCTGGAGACAGTAGCAGTCTAACTGCTCAGTGTAAACTTCTGAAATAAATTAAAAACACCAGCATTTCCAAAAGTGAAGCTAAAATAGGACGTGTACAGTTCAAACCTATAATTCCAATACAGTAGTAATATTTCCACTCATAGAACTATAACTTTTAGACCAAATATTGGAGAATTCAAAACAATTTTGCATAAAAAAGGCCAAGATTTCTACAGTAACAGAGAAAGTACCTTTTAGGCCTAATTTAAACATTTTATCTAAAAAAACAACAAAAAGCTAATTTGGTGTGAAGTTACCCTTTAAGCACACTAAGGTTGGGCAAAAGCACATGGATCTGAAGCACAACCAAAATTCCACCTCAACAGTTCAACAATAAAATCAAAAAGGTAAAATACATAAGTAAAAGTTCACACTCAAATCTAATTTAGATAATGGTGCATGGCTTTAAGCATGCTATGTGTGGGAAAACACTTGTGTAACCAAATTTTAATAATTCTGCAATGAAAAGTGGGTTAAAGTTCTGCTGAAGCCATTCTAGCCTTTTTTCCTAACGAGAAATGACATTTTCATCAAAACACTACCATTTGTATTTGATCAACTTATCTCTGATGCCATTCATTTCCTCATCCGAAACATTTAACTGACAAAAACAAGAAGAAATACAGAGATAAATATGCTTTCATCTAGTTAAAACAATCAACTGAAGTTTTTTTTTTTTTTTTTTAGCTGAGATAAGGTAAAGCTTAATATTTTTTCATGAAAGCAGGTCCTTAACATGGCTAAAATCTCTTTTTTTTAAGCCAAACCCTTCTAGATGAGGGAGCTGAAAGTGGATAATTATCTGGAGGAGTTAAATTTTATTTAAAACATGTCAGATTAAGATGACAAATACAGTCTTGCATTAAATTATTTCTGACAGGACCATATGCTGATTTGCATTTCACTGTAGGTCTTTTAGTTTTCCCACCTGAATTCCTCAGCCCAAAATAACACAGAGAAAATGTACAGTATGCAACCAATGCATTTTTTTAAGGAATAAAGTAATTCATGACCAAATGTCATGTCTAGTACTGAAAACAGATACGGGAACAAAAGATCTGGTCATTTAGACAATACAGTATCCTGCTAGGCATTGTAAACCAAACCGGTGAGCCAGAAGTACCTATATTGAGACGAAGCCATAAATCAGGAAAATGAAATGGCCTTCATTCCATTTTCAGCATTTGCTGAAAGTCCACCTTGTTGGGTACTGAAAGCATGTTCAAATGGAAATACCTTTATTGGTACAACCAGCGTATGCATAATAGCATCACTGCAAAACATGTCCACACTTGAGCAGACGGGCTGCAGCAGCAGAAAATCCCTCTAAACTGCTTCTGTCAACTAATACAACCAAGACAAACCACAGGCTCTAAGAAAATGGTCAGAGTAGAAAGACATTTTGTTCGACAAGCTATAATTTCAGACGGATAAAAGCATGGATCCATCGTGCCTTCTTAAATTAGAATTGCAGATAGAGGTGTTATGGTGTACTGACCCCTTGGTACAAGTTGAGTAACACTAAACCTACCAGTGTTTTATACGCATTTCCATCCCTCAACAATCTACTGTCATCCATTTTGAAACAAAGCATCCCAAACTGAACTCTTGAACATGGGAATGAATTCATTGTCAGATTTCCACCAAGTATGTTAAGCCTACTGGGCCAAAATCTCAGGAATGTTTCAAACTCCTTGTTTAATCTGTACAGCAAAGTATCTGGGCAGTTTCAAGGCAAAAGGAGGTCTAACCCTTTGCCAGAAAGGTGTACCTAATAAAGCGGACTGTGAGTGCGTTTGTCACAAGCAAGATCCCACCCGACCCCCCCAGGATCAGAGTCCCTAAGAGGCAGCAGGCGCTTTGACAAATGTCACTTTTACACGCCGCGAGAATGAGATCAAGTTTATGTAGCTTGACCTTTGCCACAGAAATATTACATAGCTTTTCTACTCCAACTCTCCCCAAGAACACGGATCTCTCCAACAAAATGTCAAACTATTTATTCAAAGAGCTTGTAACCTGTCGTTACTCTTGCTGCACATTTCGTTTTTTTGCCGTAAACAGCAGAAACTGGCTTTGAAGAATGATAACGGCCGTTATCCCAACATAAACGCAATGAGCTACCTGATTTCCCCAATGTGAAATGGTTGAAGGTGCTGTAAAATAGCTCCTGTATGTTATGACGCTTCACTTTCACGTGGTGCACAGGGCAGAGTTGGAAGCAGATGATACAGGATATTTGCTGATGGCTCTAGATGGAGTCCTGCATTTCCTCCTCAAACAAATAAAAGCCGACACCGTATGTTTGTGAGCACACACAAATGTTGAGGCAAACAAGCGGTTAGTGCCAGCGTGATCTGAAACCCCTTTGGTTTTGTTTGCTGTTCTTTGGCGTTTTTTGCAGTCTTTTTGCTTCGTAGAACAATCAGACCCTCTTTTCTGTCCACCACACTTAACATGCTTATCCACACTCTTTTCTTGGTATTTCTATGTTCAGAGAGGAGCTTTTATGTGCGATGTATCCAATTAATGTTTCTATTTTCATACAGTTATGGAATGTATGTTAGGCCAGTAGCAAGGCTGGAGTCAGTCTGGTTCCAGTTCAGTCAGTTCAAGTCGCTTAAGTTAGTATATTTTTATGGGAGGGGGTTACATATTTATGAAGCCTCCAAACCCATCTGTGTCCTTTTCAGAGACTTGTAATCAAAATTAAAATCGCCTCGAGGGTTGCTGGGGGAACAGCAGAGGGGCTATTACACTGTGGGCCATTACTATTCTGCTGATTTACAGATTAACTCATGAGACATTTCATTACTATTCAGTATTTGCATCTCTACATCCATGTCCTTAGAACTGACTGAATTGGCCAGAGCTTGGCCAACACTGCAGTAAACTCTCCTCACCTCTGGTATTTCTACTACACTTTATAAGTGTCTTAGTCTGTTGAGATACTTCAATAAAACAAAACAAAAAAAAAATCACTATTTTCTACGTCTCAATGAACATCACCTGTGTGTTTCAAGTGACAAGAACCTGTGTTTGTAAAACCTCTTTGGACTCTCAGCGCTAATCCAAGATCAGCACTGGCGGGCCTAATGAAGTCGCTGGAGCGGCCACCTGTTCTTAGGGACCTCGTCACCCCCATTAAAGCCTGTTAGTGTCAAAGCCGTAGAGGCAGTCGCATTGAGGCGTCAGAAAATCATCTATTATGGGAAGTTTTCTCCTACAGAGCAATTTGCTTGTGATTGCTAGGGAGTCCACTGGATGGCGGAGCAGGGAGAAAAACACCAGCAGCAAAAACAGGCAGTCAAACTGGTCTTGGATCAGCACTCTCAAAAGAGGCCTCTCTGAAAACAGGATCTTGGGTGAAATTAGGCATATTTTCTATGGTGTGGTATCTTGCTTATATAAATAAATAAATAACGTTTTGGTCAAGTGCTACAGTGAATCTCTTTTTTTTCTAAGAATACACTTATCACTATAATAAAAAAAAACTTTTTTTTTTTATTATTATTTGCAACTTGTACAGCTTTCCTCCGAAAAATAAGACTTTTGACAACACCTGTATGTCCTAAAGGGAGCTCATGAGTATTATAAATATCATTAGAAATCATTTATTCTTTGTCAAGAGATACTTTTGTTTTCTCAGAGTCTAAAAAACTTTAAAGGTTTTCCTCTAAACAGAGCTTTAGGACTCTGGATTTAGTTTTCTCTAACTGCTTTTTCTTCAATGCTGTTTAATTTTTAATTGTATTTCTTCTTATTTCTGTGTTTCCCTGTTTC